ATGTTTATGGATGTTAGAGGGAGGAGTTTCTCTCACCTTAGGTCTGTCAGCTGAACATATTCCTGTGGCCAATCCTATCTCTGGCCTCTATCTCATTAGATAGCCTAGTAATATTAAAGGGGAAATTAGTATACTCTTCTGCTGTTGTATCTATCCTTAATAGGATCCCTTTGGGTTATAGATTCCTGCTCTTCCTCTGACTGAGGTCCTATAGTCCACTGGTGTCAGCGACCAGTGATCATGGGACATTCTGGATCCCTGCATGATAGGTGCAGGCTAACCCCAATGTGGCTCCTCCTCTCTTTCTCTACTGTTTTTCTCAGTTTGAGCTGCATATTGTGTTGAGTTTAATACAAAAATCATCTAGGAATATTTTTAAAGAAAACTGTGATCCTACCTGTAGACATCTAAATGCACCACCAGTCTAAATCTTTCATTTTTTTCTGGTACTGGGGTTTGAACTAAGGACATTGCACTTGCTTGTATGGTAAACTGGGACTGGTGGTCTATCACTTCAACAATGTCTCCAGTCCAGAAAAAGAGCTCCTTTTGGAATAATGGAGCTCACCTTATAATCCTGGCTACTCAGGAGGCTGAGACCTGGAGGAGAGAGATTTGAAATGAATCTGGGCAGAAAAATGCCTAAGACTCCATTGCCAATTAATTAGCAAAAGGCCTGGGCTAAAAACATGGCTCAAGTGGTAGGATACCAGCTATAAGCAAGAAATCTTAACTAGCAAAGCACACAGAGCCACAATTTTGAAAAAGAAAAAAATATTATTACCCATAGCTCATAATAAAAACATAATGAGAACTTATATAATTTTAAAATTCTTACAATTAAAATATTGAAGTAGAATATAATATTGTTCTCTTTTTCTGAGTAAATCTGAGTGAAGGGGAAAGTAAGAGTAAGTAAGACAAGCAATCCGCATATGCATGTCTGAAATACATGGAGAAAGGCCTTTGGAGAATTAGCACTGTATTCAGAATAATAGTGACAGAAGTATAAAACAGATCCTGTTCAAGGTGGAGGTACTATTTGTAATGGGGAGGCCAGGAACAAAAGGCCTGGGGCAAAGGCTGAACTATAGGCTGAATTTCCATAGCTGCTGACTTATTTGATTTCCTATGTCCTTGATACAGGAAAAAAGCTTTGCCTTCTAACTGGCCCACAAATAAATTTTAAATAATTAAGACAGATGCAAACCAACTCTGAACTCATTTTTGTTCTAGTCTTACACTTTTGGTCAAGTAGAATTACTCTTTAATAGCTCAACCCAGTCTTTATTTTAATGAATGAGGTATTACTTCAAGTGAAGTTAATGCTTTTGTGAAGCATTTCTTCTCTCCTTCCTTGCACATGACTGTATTCTTTCAAACATCAACAAATAATCTGGCATCAGGTGTCTCAAACTGACATATTAAAGATTAAGAATATGACTTTATTTTTACCATGGGACAGGAGTTGAACTATGTCAGATGCCTTTGCATGCCTTGAAAAGTGTTAGTTCATGTGTGTTGCCCATTTTGAATCCTATTATATTTTAGATATCAATCTTTTGTATCAGATGTATGGTTTGGAAATATTTGTTCCCAGTATCTTCATTTATTATATTGTTTCCTTGGTTCTGTAGAAGTTTTTTTTTTTACTTTGCTGTCATTGTTTTTGGCTATTTTTGCTTTTATTGCCTATGATTTACCAATTACCCAAAATATGTAATGTAATTTGACTTCTACTTTAATCTAAAAATGTTTTCAGATTTGGGTTATTGGGTTATTTGGGTTATTGGGTTATTGTTATTGCTCAACTTCTAAAATTATTTTTCCTTCAAATTCTGATGTTAATTTATTCTCCTACAATATCAACAAATGCTGTGTGTGAATAATCATCCTACTCTAATGCTTTAATATATAGCACTCCCATTATTCATTTAAAAATTTACAGATGCTGGAGGGGATGTAGACAGAAGGGAACCCTACTGCATTGTTGGTGGGAGTGTAAACTTGTTCAACCACTTTGGAAAGTAGTATGGAGGTTCTTCAAAAAACTTCACATAGAGCTTCCCTATGACTGAACAATCCCACTTTGGGGCATTTACCCAAATGATCACAAACAAGACTTTACTAAAGCTACCAGTACAACTATGTTTATTGCAGCATTATTTACCATAGCTAAGATATGGAGCCAACCCAGATGCCCCTCAGTTGATGAATGGATCAAGAAAATGTGGTTTATATACACAATGGAATTCTATGCCTCCATCAGAAAGAATGACATTGCCCCATTTGTTAGGAAATGGAAAAACTTGGAACAAATTATATTAAGTGAAGTAAGCCAGGCCCAAAGAAACATAGGTCCCATGGTTTCCCTTATTTGCAATAATTAGTATATGTCTGAGACAAGCAGAAACGGTCAGGCAACTTGATGTTATGTGAAATGAACCCCAAAATAATGACTCAATTTGTTTTTCTTTCTTGCTATTGTTTCTAACACATTTATAAGATGATTTGTTTGTTGCTTTGTATGTCCCTCCCCCATGGTATAACCCCTGTTTTCACTGTATTTGATGTTGGTATAATGTATGGAGGGGAAGGGAAAAAACAAATTGTTTAAACAGGGATACAGGTGGAACCATTGCAACAATGAGATGGGGGGAGGAGATGAGAAGGGATGGGAAGGGGAAACAAAGGAGGAGGCAACAATGCTTGATAAGAAATGTACTCATTACCTTGCTCATGTACTTGTAACCCATCTGTACAGTATTTTCACAATAAAAAAGACTTATCAATAAAAAAGAAATTTCCTTAATCTAAGTATCCATATACCATTTTTCCCAAAGTAACTTAGTTTTCTTCTGAAATTCTTTGGTGTGCTGTTTTGTTTTTATTGCGAATGCTTTCACTTAGTGACGATAATCAATTCATGGCCTTGTAATCTGCCACTGGCACATTGGGCCATAGTGACAATCCAGGGTCCTGACTTCATGCAAGAAGAGATTTCATTGAGCTATATTAAGAGATCACCTCTCTCCTCAACTAAATCTTAATAAGTGAATGCAGTCTATCCAAATTTACCACCTGAAGTGCAAAGATGAAAACAGCCTTCCTATGGTTATAAAGACATGTGAGGGAGACTGAGTCTTCAAGTCATTATTTAAGCCTAAAATTAGCTCTACTCCCAAGCATTTCAGTAATGTGATCTTTAAAATTCTCTGGCTTTTTGAATCTTATCTGGTGGCCTTTGCAGACTCATAAATGAATCTGTTTATAATCTACACTTCCAAGTCCTTTTTACCCCTTCTTCATTTTCATATTTAAAGCATAATTGGGCTATTCGTATTAGTTTGATGCCTCAACCTTTTTCCTTAAAATTACTGTAGATGATATTCCATTACCAAGGGTATTAAAAACAAACTGCTGGTATGCCTTTCTGTAGTTCTCCTCCTAAAATGTCTTAATTATAGGAGTTGACCAGTGTTGATAGCTTAATAAAGAAATAGAGCAATTTAAACATTTCAGTGTCTGTAATTCTGTAGACAGACCTAAATTTACTGGGCTAATTCTAGACAACAATTTGAGTATGCTTGGAATCTAACAATACAAATGTTTTAGTTTTAGATATTCCTGCAGAGCAATGTTGATTTGATAAATCACAGCATCAACTTTGTATGATCCTTCTAGGCAATTTAATTCTCTAGGGACATAGTTTGATTGAGATGGTAGATAATATCTACAAAGCAATATATTTGCATCTCTGTTTTTTAATGAGGATGTATATTCTTTTAATAGAGTTGTACATGAAAAGGCAGAACAAGTCCATTCTTCAAGATTGTTCCCAGTTTACTAGCATAATGCTTTCTACATTATACTTCCCCATGGCTATCAACTAAAGTAAGGTTTCAGATAATGAAATAGATTGGTGTTTCCCCTGGTGATATCATTCAACCTTCAACGACTGGGAACATATTTGTTAAAACAATTTTGTTTTCAGTATTATTTCTATTGTTGATATAAATAAACAAAAACGTATTTTGATCAACTCCCTTTATAAAGCCAGTAAATAGTTTTCACATTAAGTAGTTTTCACATTAAATACTCTCAAGTATGTATAAGTCCCTTTGCTAAAACTGTAAAAATACAAAAAGTTCTAAATATGTAAGAGAAGTCAAATATTATGTCTATAGGGTTAGAAGTTACACAGGGTACAAACAGAGAATGAGGAAATGGGTTTACAGGAAGAGAACTAATTAGATTCCACACTCGATTATTATAGAGTTGGCCATTGGTATATTCACTATAAGATATACAGGGAATTGTTTTAGGGATGCTGTCCAAGGAGAAAGGAGATCTTGCTCTCTCTGATCTTGTGCTGATCTGGGAGCCTTATGGTTTCACTGAGACAGAATAATTTGAGAAGAGCAGTGTTACAGTAAAAGCTGGTACCCCATCCTCAATCACTACAGGAGCACAGTTACACTTTTTGCTTCATACCAAAGTAGCCTTACTCTTCTCCATTCAAATGGATTTCTCAAATGTTCTAAGTTGCTTTGAACTCTCATTCATTCACTGGTGCATAGCCTATCTCCACATGACCTCCACTCACAAACAAACTAATCATTGTCAAGGGAAAAGATTCTCGTGAAATGCTATAAGGTATTATCACGCCTCTCAAAAACACTATCATTCTTTGTTAAAGAAAACAATTGTTTGATGAAAAATTTAAGTAAATCAGTTCTTTAGGAGCCATGAGCAGATATTTTCACTTAACAAGAAAATCAAGCTACCTCTACTTTCCTTACCTGTTTCCATGACTGTGCCCCAATACAAAGTACTGGTAACAAATCAAACTGTCTTATTCAATTCCACTTATGGGTATGCATTCAGTTTCACTATTTATAAAATTCTTTCCCTTACACACAGACACATATACATAAATACCCACACAACATGTAGGTGTGCAAGCACACACACATAACTTTCAAAAAAAGACATATTACCTTTGTTTTTCCATTATGAACATTTTAGACAATCTGGGCTTTTGGTGCAGGAATATTTTAGGATATTGCTTGATAAATACATTATGAGCTTTGGAAGGATTCCTGTTTTTAAAAAACAACAGAGAGAGGAAGAACATATAAATTACAAATATTACAGAATGATCACTTTCAAAGGAAATACTTTAGCTTGATATGTACAAATTCTGTTATTGAAATTATTGAGCTAGGCCTTAAGGCTTTTATTTCTGTAATTGATTAAAGCTGTTACAAAATAAAACAAAATAATAGTCCCTTCAAAATGATTCACAAATAGCTTATATACATTACTAAAAATATATTGGTCTGAATCTCTGCAATGATTTGTGGAAATTCTCATGCCCTATTTTTGTAAGCCATGAATCAAAAAGCATTATGTGAAAACATCAGCATTTCCAAATTTCAGAAAATTATTGAAATAAGTTAAGATGTGTTTGGTAAATAAAAACTTCTACTTTTTTCTCCTGTTGCATCATAAACTCCAATAGTAATGCCTGAATGAAATTCTCTATTTTAAGAATCATCCTCTGAGAAATTCTTCTATCTATCCAGTTATTAATCCACTGCAAATATAAAAAACGCCAATAAACCAGACCGGGAGAAGTATGAAAAATTATCCTTAAAGATTAGGTAATGACTTTCTTTCTGAAAAACCTTACTCATTCAATTTTGGTTGACATGAAATGTTGGTAAAATGTTGGTCAGTTTTTCAAATGCTAAACATTCATCTTGACAGCTTATTTCGATAATTAACAAAAATGATCATGTTTCAAATTGAACTCTCACAAACATCTTTGTCAACATTTGCCTCATTACAGTGAATAGAAAAATCATCAAGAGGAGATCTTTTCTTATTTCACTGTCAGTAAAAATAATAACACAATCAAAAGTATTTATAACAGCTTCTTTTTCTCTTTTCTAAATTGCCTGAAACACCACACTGATACTTTATACACAATAAATGCTACATAAAGAATCTTATGTAACTTACCTTAATTGGTCCAAACAGTATAATTTAGATATGATTGAATACGATGATAGAAGATTTTATTCTGTTACTATAGAGATATATTAGTCAGGTATCTAATTGTGGAACTGAGACTGTAGCTCAGTGGCATAATACTTGCCTAGCATATGCTAGGCTCTGGGTTCAATTCCCCATACTCATACAGGCTCTTCATTTGCTAGTTAGTTTGTTTTTCTTGCTTTTTATTCCAACCATTCATTTCAACAGATACTTCCAAAGGTCTTTTTCCTTCTGTTTGGAGGAAATTCTATGACCATGTTTTTTCATGTGTACCTGATTTTATTAAATAACTTTTTATTTGTCTCCTATCTTTTGATTGTTGGTTGAATGGTTAGTTGGTTTTTGTGGTAATGGAGTTGAATTCAGTGTTGTGTGCTTGCTAGGCAGACACTCTACCACTAAAGCCATGCTCTTAGCACTTGGTTATATTCCAAACACTAATTTGTTCCATTACATATGTATACCGCCCAATGGCATTGTTACATTTTAATACCAATTCTGCAAATAAAGAAACTGAAACTTCAATCATTAGCCTAATTCATATAACTAGGAAATTAGAGGAATCAGGGTACTGATTAAAATGTTTATTGTAGCTGATGTCTCAACTGTATCCATCCCTAAAATAGATGCTGAAGCCCTAATCTCAAAGTGATTGTGCTTGGAGATACCTAATAGAAGAGAAGCTGAGGAATGAAGCCTAACTTTATATCTAGGAAGAAAAAGACACAATTCAGGAAATTTTTGAGGAAATTTTGAGATAGACATAAACATAAACAAAATTACAAATGGAAAAGTAAAAAAAATTATGAAAATTCAACTTGTCTAGACTTCAAGACAAGGATTCTTCCATCTCTTAGAGGCCAAAATTTATGAGGGGAGGCAGGAAGTAAGGATATATGTCACATAAATAGGGAATCTCCCAAATCCATTAATTGGTACTTCTTTCTCTGATCTAGGAAGGGCATTTGGCATATTCATGCTAAGTGGTGAACACGAGAAGAAGGGAAAAGGGATGAATGCTGCCAAAAAAAAAGTTCTGGTAAATATTTTCAGTGTCTATTTCTAGCTTGAAACACAGGATCAAGATGGCCCTGGAAGTCACACTATGAAGATGAAGGAGCAAACATTTGGAAGAAGTCTAAAATCATAACCCAGAAACAATTTGCTAATCTAAAATAATTCTTTATGGTGTGGAGTGAAAAAGAAACAAATTATTTGGTTATTAAGATTTAGGATTTGTCTATAGTAGCTAGAAATAACTTCACACAGTATTTCTTTTAGATTTCACATTCTATTCTACTCACAGCTCTTAGAACATAACAAACCTTTAATAAAATATTGGCTAATTAAATTTAAGTGTTTGCCATGAGGCATCCACATTTTTATTTTAAATTAATCATGCCATACAAGTGTAATCTATCTAATTTCTTATAGACATTTTTCTGCCTGAATTTGCCTCACAAATATTGTGACAATCTACATATTTATTTGATGGAAATTGAAAATGATATGATAGTTATTCTTCACAATAAAGAAAATATGTGCAATTTCCTGTGAATTAAGATGACTCTCTATACACAGGCATCTCTGTAATGGATTTCATCTTTATATTATAGTATGTCTTAACTAAAACTGCCTGTAACAATGCCAATGTAGTTCACATTAAACCCTCTACTGAGCGGAGATAATTCAAACAGTATTCTTTTCAGATGTCATTACAAAATGTCATTGTAGATAGTCTTCATGCTTCAAATTGTATGAAAACAGTCATTGCTAATTAATTTGATCACCCTCTTTATGGACAAAACTTATTATTGAATGACTTTATGGCTTCAAAATTATACTTTTTCAGGATGCACACATGACAGCACTCAGTTAACCATAAAGGTTAATGGTTAGCTTTCATAAAATTCTTGAAGAAAATTTAAAGATGCAAACTAACTTCTAATACATGTCTTAAAGACCAAATGTAAACATTCTTTAGAGATACCCATTTGTTATATTATTCCCTAAAATAACTAAAAGTCTCCCTGCTTAGAGAATCAATATTGGGTTTGTGTATAAAAATCATAGTTTGAACTTATACACATATTTAAACATCTCACATATTTGTTTATTTATTTTTTTATTTTGCAGAGCTGAGGACTGAACTCAGGGTGTGGCACTTCCCAGGTAAGTGTTCATCCACTGAGCTAAATCCCCAACCTCAAATCTCATGCATTTACTTGTCTATAAAAAAAATGACTTACTACCTTGAGGATGAATGCAAAGTTTCTGGCTTATTGCATATATATTGTATGTTAAGCACATGAAAAAATATCTATTAACAAGTTTAAGAATATATATTTAGTAATCAATATGTGTAAATATATTTGCTACTTCTTATCCTCATCTATATCTACTTGTTCCTTCTACATCTCCCACTTTTAGTAATCACGTTTTCTTTCTCTGCGTATTTAAGCTTTTTGTCATTTTAATTCATTTGAAACAGTATTTCTAAATAACTGGCTCTCTAGACAATACCAAAGATGCTATAAATCTGTCTGCCTTACTAACTTATTATCAGCACCAACAAACAACATACGAATAATTTTGTAAACATGAAAAATATTTATTTATACTAAACATTAAAATGATATTCAATTCAGGAAATGCCAAGAAATTGGAAGGATCCTTGCTTTGATGTGCCAAGGCTAAGCTATTACTTTGATTGATAGTCTCAAAATGTTAGTAACCCAGAAAATCCAGAGAAAAATTATCCCAGAGTGTTAGTTATAATTATAATAATAATAATACAACATATGATCTTTTATAGAAGTTTCATTTACAAACTTTCAAATCTTGAATCATTTAATTTGCAGCTTTCCTTTCAGTTTGTATTATAGAGGAAACGTATATGTCACCGGTCATTTTGAACATACAATACCTCAACAAATAATAAACATGAAGGAATATTTTTTTTCTTAAAACTGTTTCAACCTTTTAAAGTAACTTGAATACTTTATTATTTCAAAGGATGTAAATAATCTTTATGAGTGAAATTCTCCAAATTATCTGAAGATATGTTAAGGGTGGAAAAAGGAACTGAATTGCCAAGTTTCTACTGATTTGTTATCATTTATTTTCTCACTAAGTATAAAGATTCCCTTTTATGTCTAAGTTTATATGTGTAATATTATAAATAAATGACACAAAGCCTGGAATCCCTAGGTATATATCAATGCCTCAAAAGAATGCATCTAAGAAACTCAGGAAGATTAGGTCTGAAAGAAGAGGTACAGAAATTGGATACTTCATAAAAGGAATCAGGCAGGACAACTAGACTAAGCCTGACCAGATGACAGAAGTTGATGAAAAAACATCACCTGGAAAAGATTATATAATCCAGGAAGAAGGCAGCTGTTAAATTTAGAGTGGGTGCTTTGGCAGACCCAGAGCTATACTATTTGATCTCTCTCATTATGATATCCCAAAGGTAAACCAAAAAAAAATCTAGAAACATGTTGAAAAAAAAAAAAGAAATATGTCTGGGCCAGAAAGAAAAGGAAAAGAAGTATTCAGTTTCTAAAACCTTAACCAGTCTCTTATGCATTCAAGAAGGGACTAACATAAATGATACACACAGTATTTTGATGGTAAATCTTTTAAAAGTTCAAAACTAGGATGAGATTTTTGGAATAATAACAATTAGAAACACGCCTAGCATCATCTTTTGTGATTTTGTATCATGAAATTTGCATATATTATCTCCTTTCAGAATCTTGATACTCCACTGAAATGGTTACTGTCATTATCTCTGTTTCTCAAGAGTAACTGAGTCAAAGGGAACTCAAGGTCCTTTGCACATGTGGACTGAGCCTACTACAGTAGTTCTTCACCCTATGCTATAAGATAGCAGGAGTAAGAAGGAGAGAGCAAGGTACAGGGTGAAAAATCCCTTTTTAGTAAATATCCAGGGAATATCAAATAATCATGCCCCCTTTTCTACCTCTAAGGTAAAAAGAGAGGAAAATAAATGAAAAGTTATTTGATATGGTCAAGGGAGTATGAATTAGAAATATTTTAAATCAAAAAGAAGACATCCATAAACTTAAGGCATTTTCTTCACAGCCCCATAGGTAGAAGAGGGGAAAGGTGGAAAGTAGATGTGCAGCAATGGAATATGCTCAAAAGTCTATTTTGAGGAAAAGCGTTGGCAACACAATAGAATTACCAACACTTGTTTTTCAAGTATCATACATCTTAGAAATCCTGAGCTATGAACAATGGTATTTCCTAGCATTCTAGCTCCAGTATATTTATTTCAAGTATAGGTATTCCCAATGCACTGTTCGGGTACTTATTTCTCTCAGTATTTGCATTTTCAATCATTTAAGAAGGTCTCTCCTATGGCTGCTTTTTTATGTACTAAAAAGGACCCAGAAAGGAATGAGTTATGTGTGTTCCATACCAAATTGTTTCCTTAAAATATGGCATCGATATTCTGCCCCTTCAATCTAGAGAAATAACCTCCAAGTTTTCTAATGTTTTTATCTGTGTGGTAAATCAGATACGTATGAGAGTTGGTGATGGTTTATTGCTATACTTTATCCATAAAACAAGCATATTCATATTCATTTCCCTGACAGAAAAAGAACTGCATGAATAACTTACCTGCTGTGCAGTCCTCTAATGTGGCATAATGCATTCAACTGACCATAATTAATGTTCTTAGCTATTTTCAAGCCTGCAAAAAATCAATTAAAAATGTGAGTAATTTTCTGTAATCTTATTAACGATGTGTGTAAATAGAGTTTAATTGCAAACATTCATCATACTAAAAGAATCCAATGATCATGGTAGTGAGGCATTCAGAGTCTTTGTTTGATACACACACAAAATTGAATTGGGTGATTTAAAGGAAGGAAGAAATTATTTTTGTCACTGATGTCAAGTCAATTCTGACTATTTTTAATCCCAGTAAATGCTGAAATTTATATATGTCATAGATTTTCATTTCACTAGAAGTAACTGTTTTTTATTTTTGAAGCACTTTATGGTTACATGATACCATGTAACAAAATTTCTCATTATTTCAGGTATTACTGGGAATAAGAAAGAGATAAAGCTCTTTTAGACTGGATGCAAGTAGTATTGAAAAGGTGAAATTAGAATCCCAAAACTATTTCTAACTAGTTTCTATTTCTAACTAGTTACATATTGAAACTTTGTTTCAAAATGTTGAAGAGGATTGCTTACTTTCTTGTAGGCCTAATAACATTACTAAGACCTTTGATACCTTACTCCAGAGTAAGATCTTCAAAACAGTTTGTGTCATTAATCAAGATGTATTGTGTTCATTAACTGTTTGTTAAATGGCAACTCTTCTGTACTAAAAGATACTTTAAAAAATTTAAACCAGTTTGTTTTTATGTGAATATCCTTTTTTTCTATTTTAAGGGTTTTTTAATTCATATAAATTTATAAATGTATAATATGTGGAGGTTTCATTGTGATAATTGCTTAGCTGTACACAGTTTGACCAAGTTCACATCTTATACTATATTCCTATGTCCACTCTTCTACCTACAGCTAATTTCACTTTTTAAACAGTGAAGAGTTTCATTATGCTATCTTGTGATATACTTTGCTACTCTTTGTTTTCTCAGTATCCTCTCCTTTCCCCGCCCCCCAGCCCCTCCCACCCATCCCTCTCAACAGTCCTCTTATATATTGATGAGTATCAACATTACTATTTTAGGTCTAGATACCACAAGTGAGCCAAAAACACAGCAGGTCCACAAGGATATTCTTTAGAATAAAGTGGTAATAATAAGTCTTTCAGAATTTCTTGTCAAGACCTCTAGAATATGAACTGGTTCCAGAACTATTCCAGGCATATAATTCAAAGAAGAGTTTTCTAATATTTGATACTTTTCTCTCTCTTGCTTTTCCTCTTCCTCCCCATTCCATTCAACCCTATCTAGACAGATCTACTCAGTATTACACAGTCTCCGACCTTTGAGCAGCCTCTCTTCAGAGTACCTTACAAGGCCTCACTCAGTTTTGTGATGCTACTGAAGTTCCCCTGTAGGAAAATCTAAAAGATTCCTTAAGATAAAGAAACATAATCATGAAGGCTAATAGACAAATGAGTGCACTGTCATCATGAGGTGAGTGAGATGGAAAAAAATAAAAGCACTTCAGTCTGACTAACACCTTTTCAAGGAGGAGCAGTTGTATCACTGGCCCTCTGTTTGCTCCAGGTGAGGAAAGGCTTTTAGACACATTGAGAAATGGTGTGCTGTAATAAATTCTAGCTTATGGGTATTATCCCTTTCATTGTAAAAAGATATTGAGAAAATCCAAATCTTCATGCATTTCTAAACCTTTTCAAAGGCACTGGATGACCATCCTTGTTAAGAAGATTCAAAACATGACATGTACAAACCTAGAGCTAATTTCAGGTTCCTGAATCATAAAGCTTAGCTTTATCTAAATCTTTTGTGCCCTAAAAATAATCAGCAATAACACATCCTGCTTTTCTAGTATGAAATTGAAATAAAGAATATGAACGGACTACTTTCCACATGCAATATTCATGTTATGATTTAGGCATTTTCCCATCCATATTACTCAGGTATGCCTTAAGAAATAAAATACTGCATAACTTCATTTTAAGTAGCGTATGGAACAATTTAGCTATATCAAAGTATTTTCAAAACTAATACTTCTGAGATGTGATACACAAAATCTTAATTATAGTAAACTGTTAAGCATGTAGACTAGAAAGAGACTTCTGTGGTGTTATCTATCTAGTCCATTTTCCTAATTTGGTTTAAAAATAGGGTTAATAATAACTCCAGAGAGTCATACAAACAAGAAAGATAGTAGCATAGAAGTGTGGAACAAAGGGACCAAAAGGGAGTTTATAAGTCTAGCACTGGGTGGCTCATACCACTAATCCTAGTTACTTAAGAGGCTGAACTCTAAGAATTGCCATTCAGAGCCAAAGTGAACAAGAAAGTCTGTGATACTCTTATCTCTAATGAACCACTTTAAACAAAACACACACAAATGGATCTATTGTTCAAGTAGCAGAGTACCAGCCATAAGCAAAAAAGCTGTGACCAGTCCCTGAGTTCAAAACCCAGTGCCAATAAATACAGACGTGTGTGTGCACGTGACTGTTCCTGTAAAACACACACACACAGTTTGTTGTTGTTGTTGTTGTTGTTTTTGGATCCGGCTGTGGGACTTGAACTCTGGGCCTGGGTGCTATCCCTCAGCTCTTCAGTTCAAGGCTAGCGCTCTACCACTTGAGCCACAGCACCACTTCCAGCTTTTTTATTTTTGCTTATGCAGTGCTGAGGAATCGAACCCAGGGCCTCAGGCATGCAAGGCAAGCGCTCTACCACTGAGCCACCTTCCCAGCCCCCCACACACAGAGTTTTAAAACAATCAATATATTTTATCCTTCACTTAAAGCAATCTATAAAAACAGGAATAAAAGAACAAAGACTATGAGACTAGGAACTTTCTCAAAGTAGAGAACAAATAAAAAACAACACTTCCCTTTTTTGTCTAAAATCATTATGCTTAAGGAAAGTTATAGTAATTGAAGCCAAGGCTTCATGTTAGGCTTGGACAACAGTCAAGCAAACTAAAAAATAGAAAAGGCTATACAGCACCCACCCAGGAGTAGAAGAACACTTATTCATCACACTATTTCTTTACTGATCCTTAGTTCTGAAAGGTATTTTTTTACACGGGTCTCTCTACTAACAGCTTTGAGCAATGTAATAGATCTTGCCTTTGAAAACAAATTCATTAAAAAGAAAAGAGCCAAAAGATTTCAACATGAAATTGTAACTATGTAAAGACCAGATGTGCAGCTTTTCTAGTGATCAAATTTAATACAGGGATAAAGCTTAAAGAGTTTCAAAGAGTACAAAGTTTACATTTGTTTTCTGCTATAGATTTTCCCTCATGAATATGTCTTAGCCAGGCTTGACAGAAGCAGAGGGACTAACCCGGATATTGGGGTTAAAATCAAAGATTTTGACCGAAGTGTGAAAGAGGATTAGAAGCTTAATGTGAAAAAGTGGTTGCAAATTAATCCTATACAAGAAAACTACTGTGCAATTAAAAATCGAACCAGCTTTTTCATCTTTACTGACATAAGGCTCAAGGCTTGAAATAGAAAACAAAATTCCAATGTTTTATATGAGTAGAACTTTGATGACCTTCTATATGTGCTAGTGTTAGGTCAGAATAATTATGTTTCCTATTTGTGTAGTTATAAAGCTTTATTTGGGGTGTGTTTTTGTGGTTAGAACTAAAGTTAATAAACTATTTGTATTGGGAACTTTTATTTAATAATTATATGAAGTATTTTATTACCGAAACAAGAAAGCAATTATTAAGTGATTTATCTGCCAATCTGCTTCACTATTTTACTACATATTAAATATAAACACATATAGATCATAATAACATGTTGTAAATCTCAAATATCCATAGTAAAATAAAGCTACTTTTGTGAGTGTTAAATATAATTAATAAGTTTTCCCTTAGGAAGTAAATAAGTATCTCTTGCAAAAAAGCAAAGAGGAAGCAATAAAGTAAGTAAATCCCACCGTTTACTAGGAGGATTGGCCTCTCTGAATGCCTAGAAGACCAGTGAGAGAGAGGAACAGCTAGACTCTAGAGGAAATGTCATCTTGACCCCATGGACGTGTGAATACACTTGGTTGGAAAGCACAAAGCTGAAACTTCTTCAATATGGTTCAGTGTGTGCTCTACAATTATTTCAACTCTAAATTGAATCGTGATTAATAGAATTATCAGAGCACAAGTAAGCAGTACAGCACCCATAGCAATAGATAGATTCACAACAAAACTTTTTGTAGTAGTAACAGCAGCCTTAGTATGCCAGTCAGCAGAAGGCAAATTCTAGCACATGACTGAAGTACTGACAAGAAACTAGATAGAAGATCAAAAGGTTATAAGGATGATGAATTATTCCTATTTATTTGGATAAGTGATCCAGTTCTAAAGGGATGAAATATGGTTGGCAATAAGATGAAGCTTGTGTAAGAAAAGGTTATGCAAAATAACTTTGGTAATGATTAGTCATGTGATTATTTGATTCACTTAACCTAGATTTGATTGTCTTCTAAAATTCCAAATTTAAACATTCAAATAATATTTGATATCCAGCTGAAATGGCACTGGGAAAGGACAACTAAATAAGCCATTTTGAGGCCAAGAAATAAAGCCAAATCTAGGTCTACATATAAAAGTTGGCAAACCAACAGAATTGCTTACCTTTATTATTTCTTTTCCTTGTGTGAATAGATTAGTGTGTTAAACTAGAAGTGTATTTACTGTGTTGAGGAGAAGGGAATGTTTTAAAATAAACTGGCAAAATAACTTTCCTCTATATATCCAACATTTTGAAAAGGTCATCTATGTTCATCATTGATCCTCTCTAGCTCCTCAACCAAATTCAGTTCCCTACTCATTATAATACATCTTCACCTTTATTATTTACTGAAAGTAATTTCATTAATATCATCAAAGATCTTATTGATTCTAATGTATTGACTTTTGTGCAGAAATCTAGTGGTCTTTTCTCTGTCTTTGTCTTGCTGGGTGGTATTTGCTAGTGGTGAAGTTTGTTTTTAGAAGGCTTTCTGTCACATCTTTCTATCTTTTCTTGCTTCTTTTTTCTTGGTCTGCTGT